TGAAAAATCTCCAGAAATTTACAGAAAGTTTATAATTTTTTGTAACGTTCCAAAAGTCAAAAACCGCGAAAAACACTATAAAAAATTGTTTTTATTCTTAACATCTAGGTATAGGTGGAAAAACACAAAAAAATTTTCCGTTCCCTAAAAACCCGTCCCCCCGCTAACAGCACAGTTCCATCCCGTGGGCTGTAGGATCTCTTTTGCTATGGCTCTCTTTCTCTCTCTCTCTCTCTCTCTCTCTCGTTCTCTCTCTCCCTCTCCTGATGCCAATCAGTGATCCGGGATCACAATGTAACTGGGGTCACAGTATCAAGCCGGCGCGGGGAAGAAAAATAATCCGCGCGCGCGACATCGTCCCCCATTCGGACATGGGTTTATGCAAACAGAGAAATCGGAAAGGGGGGGAAGGGGACTTTAATCTACCGTAACCCTGTCTGGACATTTTTTTAGGGTCCCCGTTTCCTTTGGGTTCCCCCTGTGATTGGGTGCAATCAGAAGCAGAACATCGGGACAATTCGGGGCGACTGGGTAGGCCGAAGTGCAAATAGGCGCCTGGCGGACATCGGCACAAAAAATAGACATTTTCTGATTCGCATGACCCCCGAAGGGGCGTGTATATAAATCGGAAGTTGGCGGATGGTCAAGCTGATGGCGTTGGACTTGTGGATTTCTTGACTTCAGAGGGCCTTTAAGAGATTTTAGAATCTCGTGCCTTTCCTCAAAGATCTTTGCTAGCCTGCCCGAAATGGTCGAGCTTCGGGACTTTGATCTTGTGGATTTCTTGACTTTACAGTGCCTTTAAAATGGCCTAGAATCTTGTCCCTTTCCTAAAAGATCCCTGCTAGCCTGCCCTGATACCCGCCAAGCTGGATGGCCCGATCTTGTGGATTTTTTGACTTGCGAGTCCCTTTAAAGCCGCCCAGGCTTGGTCTTAATTCCGCAAATTATCTCTGCTAGCCTGCCCCGATTTTAAAGGCCCAATGAAGTGAGAGGGTCAAGCATGGTGGCTTTTATTTTGTGGATTTCTTGACTTTAAAGCACATTGAAGATGATCTAAAACCTTCTATCTGTTCCTAAACGGTCTCTGCTAGCCTGCCCTGCGTGGTCAACCTAGATGGATCTGGATTTATGCATTTCTTGATTTTTGGTGTCTTTTAAGAAACCTAGAAACAGGAAAATTTTCCCAAATCTTCTCTGCTAGCCTGCCTTGTTTTTACAGGTGAAAATATGAGAATATTCATACACCAGCGCCCAAAACCCGCTTCGCGGGCCTTGGGCGCTGGAATTGGGCCTTTGCATGAAAAATTTGAATTTCCGATAGCTCGGGTCCTTCGCCCCCCCGCCCCCGACCAAACACGCGCGAGCAACTTGCAAGAATGAGAAAATTTGTATTTTTCACATTATGCAAATTAGCCCTCCCGGACCCCCAAAAATGAACAAAACCGGCTTTAACTTTGAAAACCTGTATTTTATCGAAATTCTGAAAACACCATCGGAAAGAGGAGGGTCGATTACCCCATCCGACCGAGAATTGGGGCGTTTTGGACAGGGGAAGGGCCTCAAATCTGGCCTCGAAACTGACCTCCGCACACACACACACAGACAAAGATACGCGACCAAATTATATACAGGGTGTATCAAAAAAAAGTGCCCAAGTTTGTCCCCAATTATCTCGAGAAGGGAAGATATTTCACCGTGCGTTACCATGCCAGAATGCTTAAATATGTCAGGAATAGGGAAATAACTCAACTTGCTTTTTTCGATTTTTGGCGACGTATCAATACAAATGACACCCGAAAACTGTGCGTTCGGGGAAACTTCATTTGCATTTTTCTCAGTTTCCTGTGGTGGCTGGCTTCTAATTTTTACAATGTACAATAATCTAAGCAACAGATATGCACCTAAAAAATTTTAGATTTTTTGAGGGTCTGGTTCAAAAGTTATGCACCACTGAAATTTTGTATGTAGAAATTGCGTGAATTTCGTGTATTACAAAAACCTGTGGTGGAAATGTCCAGATAAGTGGTTTTAGAAGATCTACGGGCTCGACACAATCGCATAAAAATATTTAAAAATTTTTTATGATCTATGAATTTTTGAGTTTTTCGACGACCCCCTGGTCATGGATTTTTTTTGGGGTCACGGCAACGAACTTCAGAAAAATATTTCTAAAGTTGCAGATGGAACTCGGCTATTTCTTTTCTTGGTTATGTAGGACTGGGGTTTATCTATCATCTACAAGAATTTGAGCAACCGTACCCCCTCGGAAGGGCGCCTTTTAGGGCCTTCAAAACGGTTGGTTCGTGCTATTTTGCAAACCTTACTTCCTTTCTATAAAATTGAATTGTGCCGTCAAAATTCTCGCCACATTTTTGTTTGATACTATCTGGTTGGCGCATTCAAATAGTATATTTACGAATTTATTCAGCCATACGCTATCTCGAAAGAAATTCATGAAAAGCCCAAATATACCCGAATTCGAGGCTATGTAAAAAAATGCTCGATGCGCTAGTAGCCGTGAAATTTTGAGCATAGACCAAGCTTGTGTATTCAATTAAAACCATGCAAAGAAAAAACTTTTCTATGGCAAACGATTTTAGAAGAGCGCCTCAAAGTCGATTTTTCAAAAACGTTATTTTCGGGTTTTAAATCAAAATCAACCATTAACTTCAGCCAGATCATTCCAGAATTTTGCTCTCATACACAATTCGATGCGTGCTTTAATTGTATCCACCAAACCCCGATGACTTTTTCATTTTCAAAAATTCGATTTTCGAGCCAGGGCGTTGGGTCCAAAATCGGGGCCCGAGGGGGTTTTCCTCTTTCCTTCATAACTTTGTCATTTGCCGCAGGAATCAAATAATTTTTTTTTGTAGGTGCACTTACAATCACCCAGTGAACAGTCTAAAGTCGAAAAATTGGCACTTTATGGAATTTTGTCTTGGCATGCTAAAACGCGCTCCAGGCGGGATACTGTAGAAAACAGAAAATCGTCGTTTTCTCGTTCTTTTCACCATAGAAACGTTTCGATCTTTCAGGAAAACGAATAATAGTAGTTTTTAGTCCGATGCATCAAAATATTTAGAAGTTTCCGTGGCTAAATTCGAAAATAAGTTTTTTGCATATTTTGGGAAGATATATGGCTAGAACTCCACGATCTTTGGCCAATAGGTGACCCTTACTGGTGTTTACCAACGATAAAATTTTCAGCGAAATCCTAGCTTACAATAAAAAGAAAAACGCGGAAAACGAAAGCTACAGTATCCCTCTGGGGCACGGTTTAGCAAGCAATAGAAAAATACCATAGAAACGGATGAGAAATGGTGTTGTGACAAAGATCATCATCCGGAGACACCATTTGCAAAAGGTCAGCCATGGGCAGCATATTTGAAGCGTGTTTCGAATTAAAATGTCAAAAGATACAAAATAGTGAAATTTGTTTTGCTTGTAAAAAAGAACTGGAGCTTTAAAAATTCTAAGATTTGGCCATTACCTTTTTACAAATGCCAACGATTTTTGGGCCAAAAATCAGAATTTTCCCACCACCCGTTCAAGAACGCACAATTTTCGGTCGTAACCAGCGTCAATAATACAGTTGCGTACTCAAAAATCGAAAAAAGCAAGTTGAGTTATTTCCCTATTCCTGACATATTTAAGCATTCTGGCATGGTAACGCACGGTGAAATTTATTCCCTTCTCGAGATAATTGGGGACAAACTTGGGCACTTTTTTTTGATACACCCTGTAAGGTAGGATTTCCACACTTGCTACCCCTTTAAGACTCCACCAACCAGCGAGTCGACAAGAAACCTATCAAATTCGGGAATACCGGGGTAAAAACCCGTCTCACACCCCCCGAGGGGGACGGGCTCGCTTTTCAAGGCTAGGGAGGGAAAGGTGCGAATGGCATTGTTGTGGAGAGAGAGAATGCTAAAACTTGCCCCTTTTACAACATCAACCTGTATGGGGGAGATTCTTTACAAGTTGGCGACCACTCGGCACCAAAAGCCATATTCTGCAGGCTCTTTTTGCTAGATGTTCCTAAAAAACCCCTGCTAGCCTGCCCTCTCCTCTTCCTCAACAATCTCTGCTAGCCTGCCACCTCCTCTTCCTCAACAATCTCTGCAAGCCTGCCCTATCCTCTTCCTCAACAATCTCTGCTAGCCTGCCCTCTCCTCTTCCTCAACAATCTCTGCTAGCCTGCCCTCTTCTCTTCCTCAACAATCTCTGCTAGCCTGCCCTCTCCTCTTCCTCAACAATCACTGCTAGCCTGCCCTCTCCTCTTCCTCAACAATCTCTGCTAGTCATCCTCCGAAGCTCTACCATTTCCTAAAGAATCTCTGCTAGGCCGAGCGAGAGCGGGAGAGAGCGAAAGAGCGAGAGAGAGAGAGAGAGAGAGAGAGAGAGAGAGACCTCCACCTTTTTTGGCCAATTGCCCATCCCGTTGGCCATTTTCCGACCAAAAAACGCCTCCAAAAACCAGACCCCCACGCGCGGCGGGGTCATTATTTGTATTTGGGAGAGCCACCCGTGTTCCGTTGCCCATTCCCACCCGTATTTCAATTCGCAGCCATCAGATCGTTCCGGGGCTTTCACGTGCGGGTGCTGCAAGGCTGTGGGTGTGAATTCCGGGTGCATCCTCCGTACACCTCCGGGGACATCTTGGACATTTTTCAGTTGAGGTTTAATCCGGTGAAAAGTGGATTTTGGTTCCAGGGTTCTTACCTTCTTAGGTCTTTTTTTGGCATTTCTTTCATAAAATAAACTGGATAGAGAGAGCGAGAAAGAGAGAGAGAGAGAGAGAAAATTATTCCCCCCGCTCAGCATTTCGGTTACGGTAAAAACCGGTCAACAATTAGCCAAAAAAGCGGAACCAAAACAATTCTTTTTTTTTCGAAAAATATTGGGTGTTTTTCCCTGCATTTTTCTGGTCATATGGTTTATTTCAACTCGTAGCGAATATCTTACAAATTCCGAATTACAGTAATCCAAATCAAATGGAGACGACCCCGTTCGGGCACCGGGCCCGATTTGTCATCCTCATCTTGGTCGTGCTCTGCCTGACGAGTGTTTGGTGGGTAGAGAAAGAGAATAAGGGAGAGACAGAGAAAGAGTGAGAGAGCGAGAGAGAGATAGAGAGAGAGCGAAAAAATTACTTTTCAGGTCCAACATCCTGGCCTTCAACTTTGCCCTCATTTGCATGAATCCTGAGGATGAGGGGCGCGACGAGGCGGCAAAACACGGTAAGTTATTGCAAGGCTAGTAGAGACTGTTGAGGAAGAGGAGGGGCAGGCTAGCAGCGATTTTTGAGGAAATTCGCCTGATTTTTTAGGAGACTCATCCGAAGAAGCCGACGTCACCAGATCGTATGCAAACTCCTCAGCAATCGATCCGGATAACGGTTCACAGGCCGTATCATTTACAGCAGGTATCTTTTTTGAGACAATGGCGACCTAAATTTATTAATTTAAAGTTTTAATGATAAATCAATGAATCAATGCGCCTAACTCGACTTAATCTTCACTTTAGGACAGCAAACCTACGCGATTTCGATCGTCCCCCTGGCTGCCATCATCGCCAACTTCCCGGTCATCTTCTTGCTGAACAAGTTTGGGATCAGGTGAGAGGAGTCGCCTTTTAAAGGGACCTGGAAGGCATAATCCTTGAACATTTTGGGTTTCAGGACAATATTCGGGTTTGGCGGCTTGCTATCGGCTGTGGCGACGATTTTGATACCTTTCGGGATTAAGGTGAGCGAGAGAGAGAGAGAGAGAGAGAGAAAGAGAAAAAGAAATATAGAGCGTGAAACAGAGAACCATTTAAATCTGTCCAGCTCGGCTACCCGTACTTCATGGCGTTGCGCTTCCTGCAGGGTCTCGCCTTCGCCGCCAACCTGCCGGCCATCGGCGCCTTTTGCGCAAAGTGGGCTTATTATAAGCAGGTGAGCACTTAATTTACAAACCCTTTAAAACTATATGTTTTATTTTAAGAGGCTATATGCAATTTTTAGAATGGTCTTTTTATCGCCTCGACCGTGGCTTACCTCCAAATCGCGCCAGCCTTCACGAACCCGGTGTCCGGGCCGATTTGCGAGCATATGGGGTACGCCTCTCTCTACCGCTCTCTCTCTCGCTCTCTCTCGCTCTCTCTCGCTCGCTCTCTCTCCCGCTCTATCACACCATAACCCGCTCTCTTCAGGTGGGAATCTGTCTTCTACCTTCACGGGTGCGTCGGGCTAGCCTTGTTCGTGTTGTACGGTAAGGTTTTGAAAGCTGTAGATGACCAAAATACAGGTCTCTTCTACCGGAATAGCCCTGGAAAGCACCCATTTGTCGGCGACATCGAATCCAACAAAATCGGAATCGGAAAGCCGACAAAAGAGGAGTGGGTTTCCGTGTTCATGGAAGCGTAGGTTAGCAGAGATTATTGAGGAAGAGGAGAGGGCAGGCTAGCAGAGATTGTTGAGGAAGAGGAGAGGGCAGGCTAGCAGAGATTGTTGAGGAAGAGGAGAGGGCAGGCTAGCAGAGATTGTTGAGGAAGAGGAGAGGGCAGGCTAGCAGAGATTGTTGAGGAAGAGGAGAGGGCAGGCTAGCAGAGATTGTTGAGGAAGAGGAGAGGGCAGGCTAGCAGAGATTGTTGAGGAAGAGGAGAGGGCAGGCTAGCAGAGATTGTTGAGGAAGAGGAGAGGGCAGGCTAGCAGAGATCTTTTCAAAAATCCTAGAACCCACAGTAACCCCGAATTCTAGGAAAAAAGACGCTCAACAAGTGCCGTACCTGCAGATCCTGATGACGCCGTCCATCTGGGGCGTCTGGATCGCGGCCATCGGGAATTTCGTGGTGGTCAACCTGATCTTCCTCTACTCGCCGACGTACATGAGCAAGGGTGAGCAAGGGGAAGGCTAGCAGGGATTTTTGCGGAATTCAGAATCCCCAGGGCAGTCTAGCAGAGAAAATTTTCACCTCCAATCGCCCCCCTTCAGTACTCGGCTTCTCCGTCTCGCACAGCGGCTTCACCTCGGCGCTCGGCCCGCTAGCGCAGGCGGCCGTGAAGGTGTCAGTTGGTAGGCTTTTCCAGTGGTTGCAAAATTTTCGCTTCCGCTTCCAGGCGGCCTCAGCGACCGTATGAAGTTCCTCTCCGAGGTCACCAAGCTGCGCATCTTCAACTCGATCGCCTTCTTCGGGTGCTTCGTGTTGCTCTACATTTTGACGTTCGTCAGCACCGAGTACTCGGTGGGTTTCTAAATTAAACCTAAGCCTACGCATAAAGCTAAGTCGAAGCCTAAGCCTGAGCCTGCGCCTAAGCCCAACCCTAAACCTAAGCAAAGCCTGAAACTCGCTCGTTTAGACGATGTGCGTGCTGCTCTGGGGCGCGGCTAGTGGCATCATCGGAGCGAACACGGGCGGCTTCTTCCGCGCGGCGCCCATCCTCAGCAAGCAGTACAGGTAACCAATTTCAAAGGCTTAAAAACAAAAACAATTGCTAGCCACTTTGTGACGGGCAACATCTCGCTGGCGATCACGATCACGATGGTCATCGTGCCGTTCGTCGTCAACGGGCTGGTGAAAGACAACGAGCCGGAGGAGTGGAATCTCGTGTTCCGCATCCTCGGCGCCGTCATGGTCAGTTTGTCGGCTTTCCCAGAGAATTTCCAGAATTCTGAAAATTGTCGAAAATCTAAGACCGCACAACTTCGTCACGTCCTCACCACCAACCCTATTTTCAGGCGATCACCAACATCATCTACCTCATCCTCGTCCGGGGCGAGGCGTGCAGCTGGACCGAGGTGGAGATCAATAAAAAATAAGTAAATTAAGATAATTCTAGCTAAAATCCCGGCCCGGCAAGGTGGCGCCGATCTCTCAAGAAAAGCTGGCCGTCTCCGAGACGTCCAGCCAGACGTCCAAGGACACGGTCGACGACGAGAAGCCGATCCACGAGTTGAGCGTTATCAACTACTCCAACCAGTACAGCAATCAATTGTATTGATTCCGCCTCGAAGAGGGGCGTTTTTAAAGGGATGTGGAAGTCCAGGAATCCATAGGAACACATTCTGTGCCTTGTTGGCGCCACTTCTGGACTTCACAGACCCTTTAAAATAGCTAATCTGGTGTGAAATAGTCGAGTTTTCCATTTTTTTCTTTCTTTCTCTCTCTGTCTGTCTCTCTCTCTCTCTCTCTCTCCAAATGACACAAGCGGGTATGCGCAAATCGATTCGTGACAAATACGTGTAGATATAAATTGTATATAACCATCAATTCACGATGTACAATAGGCAAGCTAGCCGAGACAATTGCGGAAGCTCCCCTATTTTTGTAGTCATTAATGCATGTATTGTCGCCTCTCTCCTCTTCTATAAAGCTTTATTATGCACTAGATTCCTGTTCATTCAGCACCCGTCTCAAAAAGCTCTCCGCATCGTCGACGGTGACGCAGCGGCGCGAGCGGTCAATGATCGCGTTGCGCAGCCGGGTGAACGCCTTCGCGTTGCCGCCGCGTGCCTGAAAAGAGCCGGCTTTTAAAGGAGGGATGGGGCCAGTGAAAAAATATTAGCAGACGCTTTTCCAAACTAAAATGGATTTTTTCGAACGTCTTCGCGTCGCGCGTCGTTGCCACGTTCGTGGGAGGGTGGATTTTAAAGGGGATATCGCTTTAAAATTAGAAAAATAATAACACCATTTTTTGGTATTAACGTAAATTATCTACAAATAAAATTATACTAAAATTGTCTTAGTCACCTTGGCCAGCAGCGCCCCGTCAACCACGAGGATATCGTCGAAGATCGTCTGAATTTCGCCCAGCTCGCTGATGCGCCACAGCTTCTCGTCGGTGATGTGCTAAAAAAATCAAAAAAATTATCTTCTGTTAATTCCCCACTTTTTCGACGTCATCAATCTCGCCGCGGAGCGCCGCGCGCAGTGTGGCCAGCGCGACGAGCCTCGTGATCCTGTCGTGCTCGAGGAGCAGTAGGGTGCTGCAGAATTGCCCGGGGAACGCCGTGCTGAAATTTCGGGAGACTAGTAGAGGAATTTAGATTTGAATTTGGGACCAAAAATCTGCGCGAAAACGCTGCTCACCTTCGCGGGGGGTACGGTAGCTCCTCGCGCTGGCAAATATTTTTCACGTCCTGCAGGTAGTTGAGGAAGAGCTTGATGGAAACCTGGGAAAATCAGCACCGAGTTCGGTTTTTAATTTTTTTTTTGCATTATCGGGAAAACTTCTTGTCTAATTTCTCAAACAGAATTTGCGGACGTGTTGTCAAACATGAAAACTTTACAATTTGTTATTAAAAAAATAGGCAAACTATCGATTTTTTTTTGGCCAAAACGGCCCATGTTTCGACCAAACTTTCGACCTTTCCAAAAATTTTATCAAATTATCTATTTTAAATATAGTAAAATATTACCAAAAACACTATTTGAAACACTTCCTATGAAGTTACCAGTAATTTATAGATTTACGTACAAAAACTTCGCCCCCCCCCGATAACGCGAAAGAACCAAATTTTCAAAACCTCACCTTATCAACCGACTGTTCGGCGCTTTTATTCAGATTTCCGGCGCATGCGTCGAAGAAGTGGGACAGCTGTTCGTCTTCCTAAACGTTAAAGTACTTTTTAAGGGACCAAAATTGCCGTAATCTCAATGGCCACCGGCGGGTCGATTCCGAAATCGGCGATTCGTTTTTGATGAGGCGCCAGACCGAGAGCATCGACGGAATGTCGAGTGTCGGCAAGCCAGCGGTCATGAATCTGAAAAAATGATTTTTGAGACATACCTAGCTTGTCCTAAATCACCCTCAATTAAGATAAAATTCCAATACTCCGCGAATTTCGACATTATTTTCCATAAGCATGAATCCAGAAGCTCACCCTCAAATCCGGCAAGTTCGGCTCGACCATCATGCGGTAGTCGGTCTCCTCCTCTTTGTCGCGCATCGCCACCGTGCGTCTGAATTGAAAATTCCGGCCAAAAACCCAATCGTACCCTTGCGCGTCTGTCCCACGCGTTTCGTTCACCACCCGGCCGCCCGTCGACAGGATGCCGTACTGGCGGTCAATCTCGTAGTTGATCGCCGTGTGGAGCAGCCGGACACTGTTCAGGTTCTTGATCTCGGTGCGCACGCCTGAAAAGTCAACGTAAAAACCTCGTTTTAACAGAAATTTTTTTGTATAAGTCTACAAATGTCTAATAGCTTAATATCTAACAGTCTTTGAATAGTGCTTTTAGTTATATACAATTATATTCCAGCTAGAAAAACCATCTAAAAACTTTAAAAAAGGCATGCGAAATGCAAAAATTAAAATCAGCATTTTTCGTTAAAAAATCTATTTTTTTTATATTATTCAACACAAAATTTGTAAAGTAATTTAATGAATGAGCTAAAATGCTCAAGAAAAAGCGACTATAATCTGCCAGCTAGCTCAAAAACTACACACCATTCTCGCCATCCTTGCCCAGCGAGACGTTGGCGTCGACGCGGAGGTGGCCCTCTGAAAAAGGGCATGAAAATATGTTGCACATCGTGAATATACATGCTAGAAAAATTTAAAAATATGTTCAAAATAAGAAAACATGCTCAAAAAACTAATTTTTACGAGCTTTTTATGTCTCAAAATGTAAAATGTTAGAAACGCACTGTGCAATTGCCCGCGCGAGACTTGATAGTGCATGAGGATGAGGCGCAGCTGGCGGACGAAACAGGTGGCTTCGAGGGCCGACCGGAAGACGGGCGCAGTGACCACCTCGACGAGTGGGACGCCTGTAATGAGTTACATATGCAGTTGTACAGGGTTGAAGCCTGCAGAAGACCTCTGCTAGCCTGCCCTCATCTTCTTAGGCCCAGAATCGGCAGAGAGCTTGTAAATCCCACCCGCACGATTCAAGTCCACCAACGAGCTGCCGTCCTGGTGCATGGTCTTCCCAGAATCCTGCTCAAGTTGTAGCCGTTCAATTGGGACCTGAGAACCGGGATTTTACAGGTAAAAATTTTCAACTCGCCTCCCTGCAGTAACCGGAAATCCCGGGCCCGTAAACGTGCACGTCAAGCCTGCCGTTTGTGGCGATCGGATGATCGGCCTGCGTGATTTGGTAACTAAAACGGGCGTGAAGCTATTGGAAAGGGCCAATAGAAATGAATTCCGCGAAACGCCTACCCAGCTGGCATATCGGCATAGAAGTAGTGCTTGCGGTCGAATCGGCTCCACGGCGGGATTTCGCAACGTAAAGCATGCGCCATTCGCAGCGCCAACTATAGGAAAAATGGAGCAGAAATAGGCCGGTTCTTTCGCCTTACCAGGGAGGGGGGTGAACTTTGTTTGTACGAGCCTAGAAAGGCCTCGTAACTCAATAGAAAGAGTTTTAAAAGAATTTTTAGTAAAATACAACTCTATTTCAACCAGAAAACTAACTAAAACTTTAGAAAATGTTTCAAAAAAAAGTCGACATTTTCGTCGAAAATCGATATTTTTGATAATTTTAATAAGAATTTGTGAGGCTTCCACGTTTGACAATAGTAAAAAACCGTTTAGGAACACTCGCACCTTCATATTTGAAAAATTGCATTCTAAGAAAAAATTGTACCCCGCCCCCCAACAATGCGAATCAAAAGTAGGTAAAATCATCCGAATTTTCCAAAACCGAGGCCTCCTGGAAATTTCGCCAGATTACCATGACACACTGTCGATTAAGACGCGGCATCGTGCCCGGGGTGGCCATGTCAAACGCGTGGACCACTGAATTTGGCGGCGCATCGTCTTGCACAGGCGCCGGGGAGAAGAGTTTCGTTTTCGTGGCCAATTGCACATGGACCTGAATGAAATTGATGCCGTCTTGGCGTGGCGCTGATCAGGGCGGTTCACGCGCGGTTGGCACGGTTCAATTTGCTCAATTTAGCTGTGGAAACACAATTTTTCTTCTTCAGCCTATACCGGCTGATATTAAATAGCGAGCTTTTCACTTTAGTGCTGTTAGAACTTCTAACAATCTATCGTTATATTGCTAGAACTTTATTTAAGGCATCAGCATACGTTCTAGAGCGAGTCAGTGATTTTGCGACCAAATCATAAAAACTGCGTACACTACTACAACCGCGCGGCCTCTCGCTATGGCTAAGATCAGCGTGCGCCCGTACCTCCAAGCCAATGACCGGCGTGAACAGCTGCTTGAACTCGAGCGAATTCGCGCTTCTATGCGCCCATCGCAGGATCATCGCAACTGAAAACAGCTGAATAAAACAGCGCAACGCCAATAACTCTTCAAAAAAGCACTCCGCCATTGACTGCGATATTCGATGATGAAAATCAACACGCGGTTGGGTAGCTAAAACTTTATCAACAACGGGGGAACTTCAACAAGTGCAAAATGCCCAAATAAACAGCAAAGCAAGCGAGAAGACCTACATCCCCCGCAAATCCCGAAGAAACACACAAAACAAATAACATGCAATAAGAAGAAGTTGGGGGGAGAGGGGGCCCGTAACAAGGACAAATTCTACGAAAAAAAACAATGGGGCCGTATAAGAGAGAGAGAGCAACAAGATTATCACAAGGCCATCATCGGGGGTTTCGGGTTGGGCGTGGACAATGAAAAGAGGTGGGGAGGGCCCAAAAATAAATAGCACACATCTATCCTAGATTTGTTGACTAAATTCACGGAGCCGTGATGATGTTGTTCATCTTCTCGAGGTCGTATTCGTTGTGCTTGACGATGCGCTTCAGCGTGCGATCGTGCACCTCCTCCAGCGACTGACGCGGTCCGCCCTTCTCCGTCTCCAGGTACGCCTGAAGAGAAAGTTAATAAAAAACGTTTACAAGCACCTCGTAGACGCTCTTGTCCTTGAACAGCTTGAAGGCGTGGACGAGGGCAGTTTCGGCGGCGCTTCGCACAGCACTGTTGCTCTCCTTGCTGCCGTTGACCAGCGCCGGCACGACTGTCTAAAAAATACGATCATTCATGATTTTTGGGCAAAACACGTACCTTCAGCACGTCAGTGGGGAACGGTTCGGCATGGGCGGCAAAAACGTTTCCGAGCACAACAGAGACAGTTCTGTAAAGATTATAATTGAATGAAGTAATCAGAAAGAAAGAACCTCCTGACATCCAGGTGCTGATGGTTCAGCCCCTTGGCGATCATCGTCATCAGATCCTTCGACGGCTCGTCGCCCTGGGCGATCAGCAGATACCCGGCAGCGCGTAGGGCGGCTTGGCTTGTCACAAAGTCACCGGACAGGCATGCTTGGATGGCTGAGCGGCATTCGGCTTCGTGGTTTGCCCAGATCTAAAACGAAATCCATCCAAGTCAGATCCAAACATTCAAAATGGAATTTCATAATCTCGAATAAACGAAGTTTTCCGAAACCTCCGAATCCTACGTAAAAAATTTTAAATTACGAAATATGAAGTTCCGATATTGTCAAATTCTGACAATTTGATAGAAAATCTATGAAATCGCATGTAGCCAAAATTACCTTCTTCCCGTCGGTCAGGCACATCTGCTGGAAGGCGTAGGCCTTGGCTTGGCGTATCCGGGGCTTCGCGTTGGATTCAGTGTCTAAAGGGAGACAGTTGAAGAAAAAAATATCAATAAGTTACCCTTGAAAATGTCCTGAGTGGACTCTTGCCCGCTCAAGACGGCCAGCTCGCCCAGCAGCGATCCGCTCACCATCGTCAGACTAGAAAAAAATAAAGTGAAAATGGATAGGCACAAACTTGTTGTCCAGCTCGTTCGGGGCATCGACCGCTTTGTTGAATGTGAGGGCGCACACCCTGAGGCCCTCGTCGATGACCGGCTTCGAGAGCTTGGCTATGCAGCTTGGCAAGAGGGTGCGGGCGGCAACGAACGTGGTCTCCCTGAAAGAAAATTAAGTTAAACGATTCATCCAAAATACAATCCGCTAACTTAAAAAAATACTATTAATGTCGAGGCTGAATTCAAATACATAAGAAAACTGTAAACAAAACCCACATGAGCTCGAAATCCTGGCGCGCCTCAAGCACCTTCCACAGATCAACGATCATCGGCTCGGGCTTGGGGTGGATCTTCAGCAGGCGACGGAGACCGCCGGCAGCAACGAGGCGCACCTGCTTCGAGGCCGGCTCTTGCAGCGCCTTGACGAAGGTGGTTTGTAGTTGGGGCAGGAACGGCTTCATGAACGTCTCGACCTTGTCGAGCAGCAACGAGAGCGGCTGCAGGATGAGCAGCTTCACATTTGGCGGGTACCTAGGGAAAAGCTTTTTGGACAATTTCAAACCATTACCTGTCACCGAGAACGCGAATCAGGGAGCCGGTGACAACGACCACGTGGGCCTTGATGGCTTCCGGGCTGCTGGCGTTGAGCAGCTGGGCGAGCACCTCGCCGGAAATCTCCTTCGTCTCGATGCCGCCGCTCAGGATGCCTTCTCGGATGGCGCCAATCAGCGGGTTCAACGACTTTGGGTGCAGGAAGCCGGGCACTTGTTTGCCCTTGGCGCCGACGACGAGCATGTTCACTTGCTTGCGAATCAGCGGGATGAGGCTCATCTGTTCTTTTTGGTCGGCCTGCCGCATGACGCCGATCAGGGACAGGATGGCGTTCTCGACGATTTGCTCGTTGGATGAGGCGTAGAGCTGAAAGTCGAAATTTTCGAAGCTTCACCAATAGGCAGAGAAAAACAGGCCGAAGGACAAACCTGTAATATTCCCGGAAGAATGTCTTCGATGTAGTCACCAAGGCTGCTCTGTCCCTTGTCGATGAAGCTGCGCAGAAGGACCGCGGAGGGCACGTTGCCCTTCGCCGCCTTGCCGATCAAGTAGTCGAGCAGCAACGGGACGCCCTCCTCATCTTCGACGGCCACCACCACCTTCTCACACGATTCGATCATCTAAAGACAGATAAATTACATGCTCTCCATCATTAAAAATCTCAAATCAACCAAAAAAAGTACCGGATCAGACGCATCGTTCGACTTGCAGTTGACGAGCAGCGAGTCGAGAATCTTTGGGAGCTGTCGGTTCAGCGAATCTCCAGCGACGGCCGCCAGACTGCACAATGCGTGGACGTTGACCGGCGGGCGGGTGAGCTTCGGCAACAGGTAGGGGAGCATTTGTCTAAAAAAAATAGAAGAAATTCAGGGTTTATGTTAAAAACTGAAAACCAAAACGGGAAAACCCACTTGCTGTTCTTTTCCATCACCGAGCACAGACCGGCGAGCACGTACTCCTGATCGGGAGTGAGCTTCTCGAGCAACGGCGCAATGATCTCGTCGAGCGCATCGTTGCCAATGAACAGGTAGAATCGCGAGAAAGTGATGGCCGCCTCCTCGCGCACCATCGGCTCTTCGTCGGTGAGCGCCTTCCGGATTGGGCCCACGATTTGCTCAAAGTAGTGCTGCAGGACATCCTTGGTAACGTTGTCGATGATCTCGTGCAGCGCGACAGCCACTCCGACGCGCTTCGACAAGTCTTCGGAGGCGAGGTTGAACTCGAGAATCGGCAGCACTTCGTTTAGAATCTTCTCGCCCATCTTTCTGACGAGCTCGCCCAGGCATCGAGCACCCATCTGCTGGCGCTCCTCGACGTCGGAGGCGAGGCAGGCGACGACGTCCTCGAAAAGTACCTAAAAAATTAAAATGAATTGATAATTAATAATATTGATTGAAGAAACTGAAGATTAACCCAGATAACACTGCTCACCTTCATCATCTCGCGCACCGTGCGCGGCGTGTTCGACACCACCATCTTCCACACGTGGCTGGCGGCGTTGCGGACAACGAGGGCGACGTCAGACCGGGCCAGGTAGAGCCCAGAGAGCACTTCGTCACGCGTCTTTTGCCCAAGGGCGCGCGTGATCTGTTTGCTTGCCTGTTCCATGCCCATCGTGTCGTCGTCATTGGCCGTGTCGGTCGTCGACTTGCCAGAGATGCCAGAGATGTTGAAAAGGAAGTCGCCGATAAGCTGCACGGAGGCGTGCCTGATACGCCAATTCTCGTCGAAAAGGGCCCGTTGAAGCTGGGGCAGCAGGTATTTGCGGGCTTGCGAGCAGAATTGAGCGATCAGACGTTGGCCAGCCTTCAGCGCGGACGCGCGCACGTACTCGTTTTCGTCGGCGAGGGCACGAAGAATTGGCGGGACGACCTAAAAGTAAAGATCTAAATGGAGAAGACAAAGCGCACCTGTGGCAAGTATTGCACAAAACGGTCGCCAAACACCATCGGCAAATAGATGTACATGAGGATGTAGCCGTCCCGAGTCTCGGCCGATACGTTCGAGTCTTCGGTGGCGGCGATGATTTCGGGCATGACGTGATCGAGCTGTTCCTGGCCAACACCGGCCAACACTTCGGACAATCCTTGAGCGGCGCCAGACCGATCGACCGTTGATTGCTCGGCCACCAGCTTTTCCTAAACAATTTGATTATATGGGCCAGGAAATTGAATGTACCTTCAACCACGGGATAATCTCCTCGCGCAGCTTCTCGCTCGTCGTGCCCGCCGACTTGCTGATGATGGCGCCCAGGGCCTTGGCGGCGACGGCTCGAATCTCGGGCACCGGGTCCATCAGCGACTTTTGGATACCGGGCACCAATGAGGCGAGATAGGGCTCCATGTCCTTGTTGTCGGTCAGCGAGTAGATGTTGGAGATGATCTGGGCGGCGAAACGACGCGTCTCCGAGTTGCGGTCTTCGAACGCGCGGCGCACGACGGGCATGATCAGGGCAAGCGATGGGGCGTCGATGTAGTGGATGAACTGGACGATAAATTGTAAGAAGCCAAAAACTGGGGTATACCTTTGTGTTCAAAATCGTCTGCAACGACATGCTGGTCTTGGTGGCCGGGTCGATGAGCCCGAGCATGATCTTGTTGACGACGCCGAGAATCTCTGGGTTCTTGATGACCTTCGCGATTTCGCGCAGAGCCTTCTCGCCGGAAGCGCGTACTTTTACGTGTGAATCCGTGACGACCTCGATCAACTTGGGGACGATTGAGGGCAAGCAAGAGGAGAGTTGATCCGGAGCACAGTGGGCCATGTTGCCGAGCAGTTCAGCGGCCGCACACTTTGTTCGCCACGCCTCGTCGTCCAAGGCGGTAAGAAGGGCGGGGAGGACGAGCTTGGTCCCGTACTTCGTCAGCGATCCCATCATGGCCCTAGCGGTGTCCTCGGCGGCTTGTCGGATTTCGTTGTTGCTGTCGCCAAAGCAGACGAGAAGTGTGGGCAGAGCCTTGACCATGTAGGGCTCGAAAAGACGGCCGATGGTCGAGCACATAATTTCGAGTGCAAGCAGGGCGCCCTCCTTCCGCTTTTCGTTTTTCTTGTCTGAGAGTGCCGCCATGATGACCGGCATCAGCTCGAGATCGCGGAGTCCGATCATGCCAAGCCCTTTCACGAAGCCAGCGATTCCTGAAAAAATGAATGCTCTTAGTCTTTTCATGGAAAGCTTACCAAAAGCGGCTCCTCTGCGCTCGCCATAGCTGCTCCCTTCAAACAGGATCTTTTGCAGCCGGCCGACCAGCTCTTTCACAGAACCGGCCAATGCGGGCACCAGCGGGGCCAGGCATCTGCCGACAGATTCTTGGACAGTCTGCGACGGCGTGGACAGCGTCTCCATCAAGCGATTGACGATGGCGCGCACCTTCTCGCTCTTCTTGTCAATGTGCTGGGCCAGAGTGCCGAGCAACACGACGAGGCCTTGACGGAGATTGTCGTGAGCCTAGAATTGAAATTACGGATGTATTGACTTTTGCTTCACCTGTCCATCCGGGGTATTGTCAAGCATGCCCTCAAGGAACGGCAAAAGCCTTCCCATCACGGCCCTTCCATGCCGATTCGTGGCCTCGACGGCGGCGGCAAGTAGAGCTTGGCGCACAGGGCCCGAGACGTCATTCAAGCCCCCAGGAACGACGACGTGAATCAGTTTCTCGGCTTCCTCCTCGGTGACGGTGGATGAGATCAAGTGCAGTGCATTGGCCATGCCAAATCGCCGAGGCCACTCGTCGTTCACCTCCTTCCGCCGGCCCATATCGTCCACCTTGGCCGTGCTGTCCTCCAGCAAGCGTTGATACAACTGAAAACCAGGAAAATGCGGAAATTTGAAGAAAATGCTGACCTGTTCCAGGTTGGCGATCGTTTCTGCGCGCTTTTCGGGGAACGTCTCGAGCAGGTCGACAAGGGCTCGGCCCGAGGCTTCGCGCGTAAAGTCGAAGGGCGACGCACACTCCTCGACCAAAAATTCGAACATGTGGGTGGCACGGTGCAGCATGGCGCTTGTCCAGAGTGCTTGCGCAGCGCTGGCGACACTTTCGACGGCATCGAAACGGGCGATGAACAGTCGAGACTATAGAGGTTGTGTTGTCGCAAAAAAAATATATGTATTTACCATGCAGTAAGTCGTGAAAGAGCCGCCTTCATCAGCCGTTACAAGACGAGTGATCAGCTGGTTCGCCGAGAGCACCTAAAATTTCTATTGAAAAAAAGTGAAAGATGTTCAACCTGCAGCACCGATGAGCGGATTTCGGGCTTGGGTTCTTCGCCGAGTGCCTTCATCAGCCGGGAGATCAGGCTCTTCACCCGATCGCCAGTGTCGCCCGTGTCATTCACCAGCACCACCAGATTCGTCAGCGCCGATGTGGCAATATTCTTCGCCAGGTCGTCCTAGAAAAAAAATAAGTTTAAAAAACAAAAAATACCTCCGACTTTGCGATGAACGTGAGCAGCAGCTCGCCATATTCCAGGATGGGGATTTGTAGAACAGAGTCATCCTAAACCGTTTTCTTGAAGCGGGGAATCCCTTACGCGCAAGAAATTCCTATTCAGGGCCGACTTGATAAAGTTGAGCGCGCCCGACTTGACGTCGTACGAGAACGAGCCCTGGATAAGTCCTTTCACAAGCGGGTAGAGTAGCAGGATTTCAGCCGGGGATACCATGTCTTCGCAAAGTATGAGAAGGTCATCCTGAAAAAATGCTATTGGCAAGGACAACTTTTATTACCTCGTCCTCGCCGGTATCCAGCACGAAAGCCCTTTCTTGCAACAATGAGAGCAGCTTCTTGAGCGCTTCCTCCAGATCACCGCCAGTGTACGTGTCGGGTAGCCATTTGGAGTCGATCAAGCGCAACGTCCAGTACCCAACCTTGTCAGCGAGGGCACCGTCCGATCCCGAGAGCGTGGCGTCTCGATAGGCATACAGAAGCTGGGCGGCTTCCTTGGCGATGAGCGGCGACTTGGTGAGCGGGAGTCCGCGCTCGAAGAGCAGGTGCGAATTTTGGAAGGCACCCTGGTGATCGGCGTTGACCATCGCCCGCGCCTCGTCAAGCGCCAGTTCGGCTGTGGCATAGATGACTTGCAACTCGGCACGGACTTCGGCCTCCTTGACCAGCTCCTTCTCCATCACGGCTTTCTGCTTGGGCGTGAGTTTCCCCTCTTTGCGCATGCGTTCCGCCAGCTCGCGCCGTATTTCGATTTCGGCCTGCTGGTCGGCGAACGAATAGGCCTTGTTCTCGCGCTTCACGTTCCGGTCCTTTGACTCGTCAATTTCGAGCACCTCGGTGTTGTGGAGACGGCCGGCGGGCGTGCGGAAAATGGCCACCTCGCGGTCCTGGACCTTCAGCAACGCGGGAACGTCGACGAGCATCAGGTCACGCTCGATGTGTCGCCACAAGTCGGCCTTGAGCTCAGCAATTCCCGACGAGACGAGGGTGATCAGCGCGTTGTCCCTGGAATTTGAAAATCAGCTTGAATTGGGGGGACCATGAATTTTGCGCAACGAATTTTGCGCAACTCCATGGGAACGAATTTTCGGCAACTACAAACTACGTCTGCGTCTCTCCGATTCCCCTATCTCTCGAGTTGCCGAAAATTCGTTGCGCAAAATTCGTTGCCGAAAATTCATGGTCCCTGAATTGGGTTTCGGCGGCAAAAGGGAAAGCGTAGGAGAAAGATTCCCCATCACCTGATCGAAAGTGTCTCAAAAATTTCAAATCTTTTCAAATATTATTGAAAATGTTTTTAACGTTTTTTTTTTGCTGCTGGAATCTACGATTATCCTGGACCTGGCAGCGACAAACCGAAGTTTCAAAAAAAAACTTGAAAAAGGTAGAAATTCAGAAATTTTTTGAGACATTTCCGATTAGTTTCTTTTCCATCAGCCAACCCAGCAGCAGTGCTATACTCACCTGACATTCCGGTGCGTGCATTTGAGTACTTTCTCGACGACCTGGGTCCGGAAGGCGTCCGACTTCATCCAGTCGCGGTTCTCGCCCTTCTGTTGCAATGAATGGATCCAGCGCAGCCAGACAGACCCGTCGACCTCGACTAAAGAAAGGCTCCTCCCGAAGATTTTGTAATACCTAATCGTGGTATCGAGGCGAGAAGTAGCGTGTGTATCGCCAGTGATCCCAATTCCGTTTTGCCAGTTATGAGGAGGGTCTAGAGGCTTGTTTATAGAAAACATTGCAAGTCACCTCAGCCAATTGGACGAACCACTCTCCAGGTATCAACCATTGGTCCGAGACTGGGCTGCTATGCTTGGCTTTTCGAATGTTCTAAACGGAATTATGGAAAAGGGGTTCTGGATACCTCGTCAGCACTTCCGCTAACCGCTTCAGAATACGTCTGCTCAGCCAGAGCGCCGGCAAAGTCGAGCCCACGCTTTTCGATCAATCGTCCCACGGCGGCGCGTGCCTGCTTCCGGATTTCTGAGGCGGGCCAGAGGAGAAGTAGGACCAGCGATCGGATGCCGACGCTTGACTTGGCGATCTAAAACCGGGTTGTCTTCTCAGGCAAAATCTATTCCGGCTAGTCACTAGCATAAATCACTTTCGCCGTGTCTTTAGTTTGGCAAAGTTTTGGCAAAAATCTTTCTAAAATTTTAATAGGCCTTATCAAGTTTTTGATCTCGAAAAAGAATGAGAAACTGCTACTAAAGTAATTTCTATCCAAATACAAGCCCCACGGAAAGATCCCGAAAAGCACCAGCATCAAAAAATTTGAGCGCAATTTTCTTCAATGTCCAGTTTAATCCCTCACATCGTTTCCATCAGCGAGCAGCCGCTCCACAACGTACAACCATTTCGAGGCAGTCGTCGTGTCGATCGATCCCAGCGTCTTTGGCTTGAAAATAGTCTCGTTCCCGGACAGCTTCTTCAGCAAATTGGTCCAGCGGTCCGAGCCGACGTCCTCGGTGCGTAGCAGAATTGAGGCGAGTGATATAGCGTCAAGCGGTTCCTTTTGGCTCGCCTCGACATCACTCCACAGGCTCTTCTCGGCGGTTGAGGGCAACTTTGAGATGCTTCGCGTTTCGAGCAGATCCGATAGACCAGAGAGGACGATGTGCTTCGAGGCAGCGGGTACCTTGGAAGCTTCTTGGAAGGCCTTCTCGGTCCCCGAATCTGCTTCCATCTTAGCCGCCCACGTGGCGATAGCTTTCCATTGGGCGCGCACGACTTCTTCGCTGCCGTCGTTCACCTTCAGCGTTTTGGTGATAATTTCGAGCCCGGCCTTGTCGAAGCCCGCGCCGCGTTGCGCCTTTGTAGCAGCACATCGAGCGACACCTTTCAGAAGCCCCACTTTGACATCGGCGGCTTTGGCAGCTGAAAAGATGAATGAAAAGTTGATTGTGGGATACAAACCAGCGATTTGAGCAAATAACGTATCGGCAATTTTCTCGACGTTCTTTACGTCTTTCGATCCGATGGCCAAAGCTGCGACGACGTCGACAGCGACTTCGTGGCCCAACAATGATCCTGGAAAAGTCGAAATTCGATAACAAGATAGATTGGTTTACCTTGGGCACCAGCAAGGATCTCGGCGACGAAGTCATCCAAATCAAAGGTGACGTTCTCGACCAGCGGTTTCACGCCTAAAATTTGTATAAGAATGAAAGGTTTCCCAAAAAAAGCCATGCAAAACTTACCGAAGAGAGCAACTTCAGGGCTTCGCAGCAGGCTCTTCTTGACGTGCGGCACAAGCAGCTCCTTGAAATCGGCGGAAGCGATTTTCTTGATCGAATGCGCGGCATTTACCTAAGAAAAAAAATTTCCAGTAAACTCTGAATCAGCACCAGTACGAACGCCGGCGTGACCGTTTTCGACAACAGTGAACTTTTCGCGTAGAGATCACAGAAGATTCGGGACAGCTCGTTTGACCCGTCGGAGCACCAAATCCGGGAAATTATTCTTAAGATCAACGCAAGTACCTGATCAACAAATGAGATAAATGCCAGTAAACGCAGGGCATTGGCCGGCTCGGCTTGAAGCTTCTTGATTGAAGGTACTATTCGGTCGGCTGAGAATTCCGAGATCCAAGGCTTCAACGACTTTTTAAAATATCGGCTTGACGCAGGCGAGGTGGTTGAATAATAAGCCAAGCTGGACAGGGCTGATATCTAAAGGAAAAGTTTTTAACGCAAACGTCTCAATACCGTCAAGGTCAAATCTTCATCTGAAAGTTGTCCAGTGGCCCCACGTGTCAACCATTTGAACGGCGAGATGGCGCTCGAGCCGATCGTCGCGCTGGATAAGCAATTAAGTATTTACTTGAAAGCGTTGGCTTACGAAATATTCGGAAGATCCGGAAAAGCGGCAATGATCGAATTTGCTAGGCGACGCAGCGTGACCTCCTTGTTCAGACGGAAGAGCAAGGTAACCAGCTTCCAGAGGGCCTGGAAATCACCATTTTGCATCAAGAACTGAATGGGTTACATGTAATGTCTCGCGAAAATGGAAGCGCTTGGCTCCGTTGACGGCCAGCCCGATGAAGCCCTTGATGTAGAGTTCGTTGAGCTCTAAAAATACGTTTTGGAGAAACGAAAATCAAATTACCATCGCCGTTGACTCGATCGAGGGCCCTGCAGAGAGCGGTGGCGGCCTGTTGGTGCGCCTTGGTGCTCGAGGCCGCCAAGGCTTGGGCGAGCTTCCGGCCGCATTCCTTGATTTCCTCTTCTATCTGTAAAATATTTTGACCGATTTCCACAAAATAGCACCTACAAGCAGTTCTACAATCCACAAATTTGAAAATCTACTTACGCTCAACGCCCCTTCTTCGCCCGTAGTTTCCGGTTCTATTGCCGGTTTCTCGTCCATTTCGGTCATCTCGACTCTCTCACAGTCTGAAAAGCAATTTTGGGTGTGGAATTGTTCGACGACAGGGTGAGCTCGAGATCATGATCGTTTGGCAACGCAATGCGTCGAAAACTATGTTTAAGTCAGCGAAAAGCTGTTTCACAAATGTCGGGCTCAATTGGGGGCTCAAAAGTTGTTTGCCCAACTGTCAGGATCTCGTGAATTCCGGGAGATAAGTTGAAAACTATAAAAATTCATAGAAATTCCCGATTACGCCATTTTGCAAAATATTCCTGGGGGAGGTGAGCGGACGGGGTTACGGCGTTTGGCGTCGTGTCTCGTACTTTTTCAGTCGTCAACTTTTAATTTCAGTTAGTTGGTTCCAATTTTACAAAAATAGTATCTTTCTATAGTGTTTCTAAACGTTTTTTACTATTCGTGTACGTGAAAACATTACAAATTTTTATTAAAAATTACAAAAATCGACCGATTTTTTACCACAATTTCGACTTTTTGTAGTAATTTTTAAAATAAAAATAACCAAATAAAAAAATCCAATTTTTTATTCATCTTTATTCCACCCGCAAAAACAGTGCACACAAAAATCAGAAGGTAAGGAAGCGGCTATTCGCGGAAGATGAGGGCGGCGAGGAGGAGGCTGGCCACGGCGAGCATGACGGGCATCGTCGCCGGGCTGGCGTTGGTGTTGCAGTAGTCGCTGGTGCAGCACGTCAACTTGCCGCCGAACTGCTTCTCCTCGATGGTTTCGCTGCTGTAGTCGGCCGGCTAGAATGAATCGGTAGAAACCTAAGCCAAGCCTAAGCCAAGCCCAAGCCAAGCCTAAGCCAAGCCTAAGCCAAGTTCAAGCCAAGCCCAAGCCAAGCCTAACATCTCTACGTACCGCGCATTCCTTGTAGCAATTTCGGTACACTTTGTCGGCGGTTTGCTAAATTTGTTCATTGGCGTATCCAGGGCAGAATGGCCATACAGCGAGCGTGCCGCAAGCCTTCGCGTCGGGAGCGCAATCAACTTTTTTCCCACCATCCCATCCCTTCATGCAGCTGAGCGCGTGGGCGATGGCGAGGAGGGTGCAGCTGAGGAGCAGGAGCTGGCGCAGCATCGCTGGGGGTGAATGTGGGAGCAAGAAGTGAGCAAACCGATCGCTTGCGTCGAGCTAGGAAATGATGCTCAATCCTTGGTTTAACCTGATTTTGGGATAGCACTTGTGCGATATGCAAATTTTGCTGTGTAGGCTTGCAAAAAGAACGGCGTTTTTGCTACTTTGAAGCAACCCCGTAATCCTATGGGTACTGATCTGTTAGCGGGGGGACCAGTTTCTGTTGCCCTGCTTGCATGTGGACCGAATCAGTGTTTTTTTAATGGTGTTTTCCGTAGTTTTTGATGGTTCGAAAGTTATAAAAAATTTTTTAAACATTTTTGAAGGTTCGAAAATTTGGCCTTTCCAGGTTTTTCTGGGAACGAAACCTAAGCCTAAGCTTAATCTGCCTAAGCCCAAGCCAAAGCCGAAGCCTATGCCTAAGCCTAACCCTAAGCCTAAGCTTACCCCTCCCGCCCGTCAACACTACAGTACCCCGGAGCCCAGGGTATTTTTTGGGACCGCCTGCATCCAAGTCGCGCTTGCATACAGCATACAGTTTGACCGAAATGCGTGCACAAAACGTTTTTGCACCCAAGCTCGCGCTCGGCCATGCTGCGCCAGCTGCTGCTCCTCATCTACCTCGTCTCCATCACCACCGGCTCGATTCTATGTCTGAAGGGACGGGGCGAGGACGTGGTCAGCAGCCACGTTTTTTCGAATTTCGACGCTTTTAGTACAACGTCAAGTGCTTGGACGGGATCGCTTGTGGCACCTTCATCCCCTTCGTGGGCGCAACATTTTTAGCAAATTTCACAAAGCACAAATGTAGGAATACCCCTGCGCAGAGTTGCGGACATGCTACAAGATGTGTACGGTGCGTGCATCCACGCTTAGGCGTCGGCTTACGGCTTAGGCCAGAATTGGGCTTCGGCTTACCGTAGGCTTAGGTTTAGGCTTGGCTTAGGCTTGGCTTAGGCTTGGCTTAGGCTTGGCTTAGGCTTGGCTTAGGCTTGGCTTAGGCTTCGGCTATACACTGCCCAATTTCCGTTTCCAGGACCGTGAATCCACCACCCACTTACTTGACGGAAGAGAGGTCTGGGGCAATCTGACGTGCTGCTGGAGCGACAATTGTAATGCCCTCAACGGAAGCCCGGGCACGATGCCTGCCAAGTTCGCCATGGTCAGCGCCATCCTCGTCGCCGTCATCTTCAACGAGTGGCCCTGCTAACCGCTTCTGCTAACTTTTTTATACACGGTTTTTGTGCGGTTTGAATAAAGATTTTTGCGAGTGTTTTTATGGTTTTTTTTTTGAAAATGGAAAAGAGTGAGTGAGAGCAAAAGAGAGAGAGAGAGAGAGAGAGAGAGAGAGAGAGATAGCGAGATTGCCAGCCCTCTGGCACGGTCCCTTTAAAAACAGCTGTTCATCTCCCCCATCAAGGCCGCCCTCCCCGCCCTGCGCAGGAATGTATGGCAGCCGTTAGTCAAGCCAAAGCAAGACAAAAAGGGTGATCCGTCTAGTTGCGCAATCTGCCACCCCATTTCGGAAGTGAGTCACGTATACTAGGGGTCAAACTAGCGCTTTATTCGGAGTGGCAATGACCGGGATTCCGCAACAATCTCTGCTAGCCTGCCCTCTCCTCTTCCTCAACAATCTCTGCTAGCCTGCCCTCTCCTCTTCCTCAACAATCTCTGCTAGCCTGCCCTCTCCTCTTCCTCAACAATCTCTGCTAGCCTGCCCCTCTCCTCTTCCTCAACAATCTCTGCTAGCCTGCCCTCTCCTCTTCCTCAACAATCTCTGCTAGCCTGCCCTCTCCTCTTCCTCAACAATCTCTGCTAGCCTGCCCTCTCCTCTTCCTCAACAATCTCTGCTAGCCTGCCCTCTCCTCTTCCTCAACAATCTCTGCTAGTCTGCCCCGTTCTATCACGTCAATCTGCGTAGATTTCCTCACAACAACCACCGACTGCCAGCCGGCTCTCTGACGCATCTGGTCGCCCTCGTTTTTGCAGCCGCCACTCCCCTTGAGGCTTACTCACGTTTCCGATCCGATCCGCTACTGTAGGCCGCCCTAAAAGGAGCCGATTCTTGCAAGCAACCCTCACTCTGCGATCCCTGTTTTCTCGAAATAATCTCTGCTAGCATGCCCTTTCAAAAATTCCCAAAGAATTGCTGCTAGTCATCTATCCTGATCAATTCCTCACAAATCTTTGCTAGTCTGCCGTCATCTTTTTGGCTCCCGATAACCTCTATGTACTACAATGCCCCATTCGTTCCGAAGAGCTCCTCACAACGCCTGGGCGCCTAGGAATGATTGAGTGAATGGGTGAAGCGAGGGAGAAGCTGATGGGGTGGGAATGATCTGTTCTTACCTCAAGATAGAGGGGTATAGTAAGCGGGCAGGCTAGCAGAGATTGTTGAGGAAGAGGAGAGGGCAGGGCTAGCAGAGATTGTTGAGGAAGAGGAGAGGGCAGGCTAGCAGAGATTGTTGAGGAAGAGGAGAGGGCAGGCTAGCAGAGATTGTTGAGGAAGAGGAGAGGGCAGGCTAGCAGAGATTGTTGAGGAAGAGGAGAGGGCAGGCTAGCAGAGATTGTTGAGGAAGAGGAGAGGGCAGGCTAGCAGAGATTGTTGAGGAAGAAGAGAGGGCAGACTAGTGGAGACCATTTGAGCGCTCTAAAACCCCATCCCTCTCGATTCCCGGCCATAAACCCAGGGCATCCGCCTTTCCGTTTCCGCGCCCTTCCAATAGACGGTTCCGCCGGGTGGCGCCTCATAAAATGCGGTTGGGGGAGGGCCGTCAATTGGAAAAAAGCGGAAAAACGATGGGGCGACCTCGTTCCCCATCCACCCGGCGGCTAGAGCGTCTTTTGTAGCCGCGCGTACTTTTACTACGTTGCATGTTTTTGCGCGGAGCCTCATCGTATGCATGGCGGGGGGCATAAACCGGTTGATAGCCCCTGGCCCCGTTTTGGGAAAAAGGAGCGTTGTTCATCGGCTTGTGGTGTAGTGGGGTTCCTTTAAAGGGCCATTGAAGTAGCACTTTCCGCTTTTTAGAATTTTTAATGTTCCTAAAGCGACGGACAGGACTAGGTTCGGTATAGGCTTAGGCTTATGCTTGAGCTTAGGCTTTCGCTTAGGCTTAGGTGTGGGTTTGGTTTAGGCTTAGGCTGAGACTTAGGCTGCTTAGACATAGGCCTAGGCTTAGCTTGGGCTGGGCTTAGGCAGCTTCAAAAAATTGCTCAGATAGCTAGCCACCAAAAACCGTTTTTCGGCTGTTTTTGATAAGATTGAGGCTCGGATATCTCACCTCTTTGACCTCAATCACCATTGTTGGAGGTAGAGGCAGAGAGAGAGATAGCGAGAGAGTGAGAGAGAGAGAGAGAGAGAGAGAAAGAGAAAGAGAGAGAGAGAAATATTTTGACCCCGATTGTTTTCGTGTTATCCTCGTTTTATTTTTCTCAAAAAATCGTATAAAAGCACTGTTTTGGAATTACCATACCCCTGGTTTGATCTTCTTCACTCTTTACCCAGGCAGGCTAGCAGAGATTCTTAGAAACCTATTAATGTGTTATTAGTGTTGTATCATTCCTTTCAGCGCTGTTTTTCTATGCATCAGCTGCTCCATTAAATTCTGCGGCCTGCAAATTTTGCAACACTTTTTCACGCGCCCACACCCCGCTTTCTGCGCGCCCATTGTTTTCCGCGCGGCGCGTAATGGGATAACACGATTCCCACGCGATGCCAGGAACAATAGTCAGAATTGCGGAAACGCCCAGTATTCTATGCCTGGAGGATTCCTTTTCCTGAAAAATCTGTGCTAGTCTGCCCTCGCCTAATCCTCAACAATCTCTGCTAGCCTGCCCTCTCCTCTTCCTCAACAATCTCTGCTAGCCTGCCCTCTCCTCTTCCTCAACAATCTCTGCTAGCCTGCCCTCTACCCTTCCTCAATGATCTCGCTAGCCTGCCCCACGATTCCTCCAAGACCCTCTGCTAGCCTGCCAATTTTTCTCTGCAAATTTGAAAAGATCCTGCTCCCAAAAAAATGCCAGCTTTGCTGGCATCATCAGCGTATCGTCCGCCGATTAGCCTATGTCTCTCCTCTTCCCCCGGTTCGCCCACCAGATCGGTAGCCGGTTTTTCTTTCCGTGTCTTTCCGTTTCTTGCCGCGTTTGCTAAATGATGCGCTGCATCATTTTTTCGAGGGCGATCTTTACGATTTACGGTTGATATGTTTTGGCGAAGAGCGGTGGGTGTATGGCTTTTGAAGCATGATATGACGTATCTATCGCCCTGGTTACCCCTTATAGTCAGCGGTTGCTTTCAGTGTCTTCACACTTTGCTTTTCTATTTTTTTTGTTCCTTTTCCCTTGCCTACGGTCATCCTAGCGTATTTTTCCAGGTTTTGAAGCTATTGGAAATTCTGTATTTATTGAGAAGCAGTCATAAATGTTTGCGGAAAAGCTATCCTAAGCCTATGCCTAAGCCTAAGCCTAACCTGCTACCCCGCCATCTATTACAATCCGCGAAACCATTCCCGCTTCCCCTCAAATCTCTTATCATGTCCTCCGGGCATCGCCGCCGAAATGCAAATGACTGCTGACCCCGATTAGGTGGGGCGTCTCACGGATTAGGCTCCACCCCCCGGCGGATTATCACTCGAAGCCGCACCCTAATTGCTATAATTTTGACGTATATTGGTAGGCCGGCTTCAAAAAGGGCCTCTGCTAGCTTGTCCTCTCCTCTTCCTCAACAATCTCTGCTAGCCTGCCCTCTCCTCTTCCTCAACAATCTCTGCTAGCCTGCCCTCTCCTCTTCCTCAACAATCTCTGCTAGCCTGCCCTCTCCTCTTCCTCAACAATCTCTGCTAGCTTGCCCTCTCCTCTTCCTCAACAATCTCTGCTAGCCTGCCCTCTCCTCTTCCTCAACAATCTCTGCTAGCCTGCCCTCTCCTCTTCCTCAACGTTCTCTGCTAGCCTGCCTTGCTCTCCCTAGTGTTCTCTGCTACTCTCTCTCTACTTCACTCCCCATAAATGATCCTATTCTGTGCCCTTTCCCCCCGTGTTTCCGGCCGTTTCCGATACGGGCGGGCTAATTTGGAGAATTAGTGACTCGGTTCGAAGTTTCGCGGGGCTCTTTTTCCGCTTGCCAAAAAATGGCGTAGAACCGCTGGGGAAAGGTGATCAGGAGCCGAACGGAAATCCGGGATACGGTACCCGCGTGGGTGGTGTAGGCTCGCCTGGGTTTAGAAAATCAGCCTCCCAATTCAGTAATTGTTTTGGAACCTTGACGGGCTAGCGGAGATTATTGAGGAAGAGGAGAGGGCAGGCTAGCAGAGATTGTTGAGGAAGAGGAGGGGATTTTGGGGAAAGGGGGGGGGGGGGGGGGGGGGGGGGGGGGGGGGGGGGGGGGGGGGAGGGCAGGCTAGCAGAGACCCTTTGCGCCGATATCGTCTCGTTTGCCTGCCTCGACAAAATGTCAAGTGTATCCGCGCGTCAGCGCCCCGCGCGGATCCGATTTCCACGCGCCACCCCGCGTGACGTTGCCTGTTTTTTGGCGTATTCAGGCTTAGAAGAGCTTCTCCTTGAATTTTTCTTAATCTTTAGAATTTTGTGTCGAATTTAGCTTCCTTATTTTTGCTTTTTATGCAAATTTCACGATTTTTTTCGTTCATTCCATCAATTTTTAGGTCCAGAAAAACTATGCGATTTTTCCTACTCACAATATTCGTGCTTGTGCTGCTTGCCGAGGTGCTCCAAGCGTCGCCACAGTAAGAACTCGAATCCAAAACTTTTGCGATTTTTTTTGATTTTTAGACAGTATTTTTGGAATAAAATTTGAGTTTTACTGTGTAAATTAGGTTTAAATCCAGTCGAGAATTTTTACGTACTTTTTTAGCTTCAAACTCCGCCGTGGCGGCCATCTGGAGCGCGTTCATCGGCAGGCGCTGAGCGACTGGAAGCGGGCACATCACAGGTCGAGAAGGCATCGCCATCGGTGGGTTGTCGTGCGGTTTAAAGTGGCAATTTGCCGCGACGCGATGCGCCACGCAACGCGCCCGCTACCTTGTCCATGCCGGCATTTCATAATGCGAAAATTCAGTTGTCGAAATTCCAAAAGTCCTAGATTCCGAAAAACCGAATTTTTTTCGAAATGTCGATGTTTATTCGACTCCACATTTTCAGGCACAAAAGAAGACGTCATGGTCGCGACGAGGCCCAGCGTCGGATCGACCACATCACCGACGAGATTGACGGCTACGTGCGGCCGCGTTTCGGGCGGAGCGTCGCGTAATTTTCCTGTTTTCAGAAAATTCATTTTTGTGCTGATTGATGCTAGGATTTTCACATTTGTCACTCGATTGTCTTTCATTTATTTGCTCTCTCTCTCTCGCTCTCTCTCTCTCTCTCTCTCTCTCTATCCTATTCTCTCTTTCTCCCATCTGCTAAATTCCCAAAATTCAGGTACCCCACCTTAAAATCACTTATCCCAGCGATGTGATACTCATCCAAAAATAACTTTTTGTAGCTTTTGAACTTCTTTCACGTTTATTACTGTTTGTATATAATGTTTTGATACTCTGAATGTAAGATTTAATGCGAATAAAGGCTTTTTTGAGGAAGAGGAGAGGGCAGGCTAGCAGAGATTGTTGCGGAAGAGGAGAGGGCAGGCTAGCAGAGATTGTTGAGGAAGAGGAGAGGGCAGGCTAGCAGAGATTGTTGAGGAAGAGGAGAGGGCAGGCTAGCAGAGATTGTTGAGGAAGAGGAGAGGGCAGGCTAGCAGAGATTGTTGAGGAAGAGGAGAGGGCAGGCTAGCAGAGATTGTTGAGAGAGAGGGGGGGGGGGGGGGGGGGGGGGGGGGGGGGGGGGGGGGGGGGGGGGGGGGGGGGGGGTGGGGGGGGAAACGGGAAAACTAACGAAGAAAAGGTTCAAATAATTTATCGTCACAAATGGTTGACAAATATCGATCTGAGGAGCTGCTCGAGCGTGTTGGCGCGTCGCGCGCAAGCGCCTATGCTCTGAAAAATTTTTGTGTGTACTTTGTTGCGCTTGTATACGGTGTTGAGGGATCATAATCTGAGTTGGGCTACTGAGCCGAAGCCTAAGCCTAATCCTAAGCCAAAATCCTTCGAACTCACCACAATCTTGAGCTTCTCCTCGCCGTTCGAGCGCTTCTCGAGCCGACACTGTGCTTTGTAGAACGAGCACAGATCGCGGTGAGTTCCGCCTTCCGAATCGCAGAAGATTTGCGAGCGGAATGCTGAAAAACGGGATTTAAGGGGTTGTCTTTTCGTACAGTTGGTTTTTTGGAGGTCACTCCGATTACGCGACAAAATGTGACTTAGCGCCTGGCGTTAAAGGGGAATTGAAGTCTAACCGATCACGCTATTAAATTCGGAACCCACCTGTCGAGCAAATATCATCGCAGCACGTACCCAGGTAGTCGATCTCGATGTTCTCCTTCAGCCTGCAAATTTTTTTTATAAGAGTCTAGGCCTAAGCCTATGCCTAAGCCCAAGCCCATGCCTAAGACGAAGCCTAAGCCAAACCTAGGCCAAGCCTAAGCTAAGCCTAAGCCAAGCCTAAACCTAAGCCCAGACCTAAGCCTAAGCTAAGCCAAGGCTAAGCCAAGGCTAAGCCGAAGCTTAAGCCTAAGCAAAAACACACTGCATTTTATGGAAGCATCGATAGTTGAGAAAAGTGCACAAATTCGCGTGCGTCTTCCCGTTTGTGTCGCATACCGGCTCCCAGTCGTGGCTGAAAAAACACATAATTTGGGGGATCATAGTGTATTTTATAAGCGTGATTCTATCTGCCATTACTTACTACGAATTTCAAATATTTTAATTTGAATTTTTTTTTATACTCTCTATCATTCTACCTGCATTGTCGAACGCATTCGCATTTTGGGGCCTGCGAATCGAGACCGATGTGCGTGCCGTGAAGCCTGAAAATGGGCTTTAAGGCGCTCGAGGATTCCCAAAGAATCTCTGCCGGGCCCTCTCCTCTTCCTCAACAATCTCTGCTAGCCTGCCCTCTCCTCTTCCTCCTCCCTGCTAGCCTGCCCTCTCCTCTTCCTCAACAATCTCTGCTAGCCTGCCCTCTCCTCTTCCTCAGCAATCTCTGCTAGCCTGGCCCTCTCCTCTTCCCAAAAACTCTGCAGCCTGCCCTCCTCTTCCTCAACATTCTGCCAGCCTGCCCTCTCCTCTTCCGCCGTCCGCAGGCCCCTCTCCTCCTCAACAATCTCTGCAAGCCTGCCTTTTCCTTTTCTTCACAATTCCGCCTCCCTTCCCTCAACAATCTCTGCTAGCCTGCCCTCTCCTCTTCCTCAACAATCTCTGCTAGCCTGCCCTCTCCTCTTCCTCAACAATCTCTGCTAGCCTGCCCTCTCCTCTTCCTCAACAATCTCTGCTAGCCTGCCCTCTCCTCTTCCTCAACAATCTCTGTTAGCCTGCCCTCTCCTCTTCCTCAACAATCTCTGCTAGCCTGCCCTCTCCTCTTCCTCAACAATCTCTGCTAGCCTGCCCTCTCCTCTTCCTCAACAATCTCTGCTAGCCTGCCCTCCCTAACTGACCTATGTGCAATGCACTGGGACAGCTCGAACTCGCAGTTGGAGGAGTACATCTGCAAAAAAGTGATGGCCCACTCCCTGTAAAACATACGTCACCATTCATGTCGCAGACGGGAGCGTCAAACTGGGTACAGCTCGGGGCACGACAACACGAACCCGGATACAATAGCTGGACGGCTAAATAGGAATTGTTGAGGAAGGGCAGGCTAGCAGAGATTGTTGAGGAATTTCTAGACTGAGAGAACCAAAAAACGCACCCTTCTCGCTGGTCCTGGCCGCACACCCGAGCACACACTCATTGATGTACGTATACTCGATGCCAGCTTTTAGGCCACACACCTAAATTTCCACAATTATACGATTTTAAAGGCCCGTGGAAGGCAAGTATGCCTCACCGGCTCGATGGAAAATGGACACCGGCAATCCCCGCCAAAAGTGAGATTGAACGGGAAGACGGCTTCGGTGATGAGGGCCCTGAAAGCGGTTGATTCGCTGTCCGTAACAATCCCTGCTAGCCTGCCCTCTCCTCTTCCTCAACAATCTCTGCTAGCATGCCCTGAACTCACCCAAATTCCGGCAACAAACCGGCTAGGATTAGGCAGAAAATCATCCATGCATTAATAGACGCCAGCAAGGGTCGAAGCGGAAACCCGGCAAATCGTTTCCCAGCACCAAGTGTGTGGCCAGCTGGTGGGGGGATATGTCCTGAGGAGTGGATTCCCAGCTGAGACGCTTATTATTTGCCCTCAGGGCACAAACCACCGCCCCCTCACAACGGGGATCATGCACCAATCCCCCCACCAAGCAAGACGACACGAGATGTTTGTGTATTCTTCCGGAATTCCAAGAGGAGTTGAAAGGGCGAAATTAGGGAAATTAGGGGGCAGGCTAGGAGAGATTGTTGAGGAAGAGGAGAGGGCAGGCTAGCAGAGATTGTTGAGGAAGAGGAGAGGGCAGGCTAGCAGGGATTGTTGAGGAAGAGGAGGGGGCAGGCTAGCAGAGATTTTTGAGGAAGAGGAGAAGGCAGGCTAGCAGAGATTGTTGAGGAGAAGGACCCTCTGCCTCGCATTCCTTAAGAATCCCTGCCAGCCTGCCCTGCGATCCAATTCACATGCCATTTGGCCAATTGGTCAAAGGGCCAGCTGGGTGGCCTCACTCTCTCTCTCTCTCTCTCTCTCTCTCTCTCTCTCTCTCGCCCCATCCTTAGGGCCATCTGTCCATAGCCCCAAAAGGGAATGTAGCTGGGGCGAGAGAGTGAGAAATTCAGGAGGGCCCAGCGCGTGGGCCCCTGGAACGCCCGCCAGGGTGCCACCATATCGATTCTGCGGCCGAATGGCACCGATTTTTGCTTTGAATTCTGCATAAAATGGTTCGAAATTAACGTCTGGTTTATTTAAAATTGTTCTGGCGACCTTAGAACAAATTTTTAGCCATTTTTTCCACTTTTCAGGCTAGAAAACGCCATTTTTTCATAGTTTTCGGGGCTAAATAATTTGTTTTATACATATTTCCAGGTTGTTGAAGACCCCAAAATGCCCACAAATATTCCTAAATAATTTCTAAACCCATTTTTCGACCGGAAACATGTTCCACCTGCGGCAAGTGATCGGCGAGGACGGCCGGTGCTTGAGGGAGAGCGCACAAAATGGTAGGTTCCGGAAATGGTCTCTGCTAGCCTGCCTTCGGACCTTGAATTCGTCAAAAGTTTTTGCTAGCCTACCCGGAAAATACGGAAACTGCCTAAAAATCCCTGAGCTTCGGATTTCCGCAAAGAATCTCTGCTAACCTGCCCCCGAGCCTGGTTATTGTGCAAAGAATCTCTGCTAGCTTGCCTTGAAGCTTGATTTTCGCAAAAAACCTCTGCAAGCCTGCCCTGGGTCTGCAATTCCAAAAAATCTCTGCTAGCCTGCGCTCGGGAGCAACCGATCCGCAAAGGCTCTCTGCTAGCCTGCCCTCCCCGTAATGCTCCCAATTCAGGCCACTCCAAAACACCTCGAATCGCCGCCGACCTCGGCGAGCTGATGCGCAACAACTTTCCGCTGCCCTCCAAAACACATTTGCTCAACGGGCCCACCACTATCCAGGACGCCGGAGACCCGGAAGTATTAGGTAGTTTTTTTTTACTTGTGTGGACCTTTAAAATTTCGTCAGATGAGAAACGGCTGCCCTCTTCCGTGTTCCTCGCCGAGAAGCAGCTCCAGGTCGTCGCGCCGCCCTCCATTTTTGCCACCAATCTCATCGCCAGGGCCATTGTGCTACGGTAATTGTGGAAATTAATTTTTATCAATAAATAAATAAATAGAAAAACGCAAACTTAATTTCTTCAGTTTTGGCCCGCTAATCGAGCGCGACGAGCCGGACGACGACATGCCGACGCTGAACCTCGACAACTTGAAGGAGGTCGACGAGAAAAGGGTAAAAAAACTTTTTTTTTGAGATTTTTATAATTATTTTTATAGTTTAATTTTAATTTTTGAACTTTTCCCATAGACCTTTCAAATTTTGATTCCAGGCAAATTCCCAAATCGTCTCCATCAACCTGCACTGCATGTTCTCGGTGCTGTGGCAGTTGAGCAGGAGGGATCCGGAGCTCTGCGTGCAGGTAAGCCCAAGCCGAGCCCAAGCTAAGTCTAAGCTAAGCCTAAGCCTAAGCCAAGCCTAAGCCCAAGCCTAAGCCTAAGCCTAAGCCGAAGATAACCCTAAGCCAAGCCTAGCTTAAATTCAAAATTTTCAGGCGATGACCTCCTTGCTGTCGATGCTGCAATGCCTGCCCCCAGAATCGCTCGTCAACGAGCCAAAATCGGCCATTCGGGACATGCACGAGACGTTGAAGCGGTTGCGGATTGATGGTAGGCTAGCAAAAATCTCTCTCTCTCTCTCTCTCTCTCTCTCTCTCTCTATCTTTCTCTCTCTGGGTCTCTCTCGCTCCTTCCTAATAATGCCCCGTTCAGGCTCCTCCTGCGTTTCCGGTCTTGCCTCAGCCTGCCTCACCGCTCTCGCCACAGCCTCCGCTTCACCCGAATTCCTCTTCTCAACGGCGGCCACGTTTTTGTGCGATAACATCACTGGGAATCTGGTGGGCAGGCTAGCAAAGATTTGGCGGATTTCCCCATGCCGGCGCACTAATGGTACCTTTTAGAGCACCTCCAACGACGTGGACCACGTCCAAATCCCCGAAAATCATCACCGACTCGCCCTCTACGTGCAGAACCGAGTCTTCCACGGTACCGAACCGGGGTAAGGCAGCTTGAAGACGTCGTGGCAGGCTAGCAGAGACTCTTCATGGCATATTAAACACATGAGATTCAGATTCGATTGGTGTCTCCTGCCCCTTTCGGACTTCTTGTGCATCTCCGGCTTCGATATGTCGACGCTGCCGATCGACTGCTCGCCGTCAACCCCGGATGAGGATCGGAGGCTTTATTCGGCGATTGCCAGTGATGGTGGGTGGCTAGCAGGGATTGTTGAAGAAGAGGAAAGGGCAGGCTGCAGAGATTCTTGAGGAAGCTCGATTTTTTGCAGGCGCTCACGTCTATGTCCTCACGTACCTCGGCCTCTTCAAGATGGGCACCGGGCTGGCGGAGACGGTCGCCGGCAAACTTTACACCTCGAATACGATGATGAGGGCGAGGTAGAGAGCTAGAGAGAGAGAGAGAGGGATATGTTTTTAGTCGTCACTGCGTGCTCACCTTCTGCCACTCGTCGCTGTACTTAAGACGGGGCCAGTCCAGCCGCGTCTGGGTCATCGACGCCTACACGTTACGGTCAGTGATCACTGCTGGCCTGCCCCCTCCTCTTCCTCAACAATCTCTGCTAACCAGCCTCTTTAGAGAAATCGGCGAGATCATCCTCCCCCCAGCCACCACCCAATCAGCGATCTTCAGCGACGGCGACGACTTCTACCAGGCCACGGTCGACCAGCATTCATCTTTGGTGGTCGGTTCCTCATCCAAATTGCCTTACCAGCCCCTTTCAAACCACAATACTCATCACTTCTAGGTGACCGTGCTCAACGACAGCTTTGTGGCCTCCCAGGAGTCGAAGCTCAAGCAGAAATATCGATTGAGCGAGGTATTGACCTTCTTTGATCTGGCGTTTGAATTTCTGGAGTTTAAGCAAGTGTTAAGACGTTTAATCGGTGCCAATTTCAGGTGACCTACAGCTCGTTTGGTGAGATTCAGCCGATTCCGCACACGCTGCCGAATACGCTACCTTCAACGTTACAGAGTAGGTTTGATAAGCCCATTATGCCTAAGCCTAAGCCTAATCCTAAGCATAAGCCTAAGCCTAAGCCTAATCCTGAGCCAAATCCTAAGCATAAGCCTAGACGTAAATCTATCTTTTCCAGGCCAAGCCGTCGACCTGCACATGGGCGGGGAGTGCGCCTTCTTGCTGGCCCGCAGCGGCAAGGTGTTCTACAGTGGAAATGGGGCCCGGCTCGGGTTGCAGGTGAGAACTTTGCGGACCGCTAACCCAATCTCCGCGTCACGCTGCCTTTAAAATTACGGTATTTCTAGGAAACCGGAACCACGTGGATGGAGCTGGTGTTGCCGGAGCCGATCGTACAGCTTTGTGTGGCAACTGAGGTGAGGGAGAGAGCTGGAGTGAGAGAGAGAGGGGGAGAGACAGACTGAGCGGGAGCGAGAGCGAGAGAGATAGCGAGAGCGAGAGAGAGAAAGTGAGATAGAGTTAGAGAGCCTTTTTAGATGGTGCTCTTCCGCTCTGGCAGCGGCCACATCTGGATGGCGGGCGGCGAGCATGGCCGGAATCGGCAGGGAAAGCTGCGTAGGATCCAGACAGCCAATCGGTAATGCGGCATTTCGAGCAAGAGATAGACAGAGAGAGAGAGAGAGGGAGAGAGAGAGAGACAGAGACAGAGAGAACAACAGATAACGATAATTTTTAGACGAAAAGCTATATGTATCGCAGCCACGGGAGCCACGTACGCGTACGTGACGGAAAACGGGAGAGCCTATCTGCAGGGACGGCATGGCCTGAAAACCCACCCGGAAACCGGGCTAAGTAAGTTTTAATATCTCTCTCTCTCTCTCTCTCTCGCTTTCTCTAGCCCAAAATTTAGTTTGCGGCCTCGAAGGAGTCCACCTCGTCTCCATAGCCCTTGGCAAGACGCACGCCGTCGGGGTGACGAAGCACGGCTATCTCCTCACGATGGGCCTCAACAATTTACATCAATGCGGCAGGGTGGAGGTAGGCCGAGTCTCTCTCTTTCTCTCTCTCTCTCTCTCTCTCTCTCTCTCTCTCTCTCTCTCTCTCTCTCTCTCTCTCTGTGTCTCTCTCTCCAACCCTATTTTTCAGATGACCTCCACAAATTGTTCACCCTATTCCACGCCCAGGCAGGCGGCCATAGAGCAAGCGCGGAAGAAGGGAGATCCGGGACCAGGTAATTCCTCAACAATCTCCGCTAGCCTGCCCTTCCAGATCCCGGGCCTTCATCTGACCCCGCACCTAGCTATTGTGCCCCGAACCAGCACCTCTTCGTCAAGGACGTCGCCAGTGTCTGCGTGTAAGTTTGGCGAGTCAGCCGAAGCCTAAGTCAAGCCTAAGCCTAAGCCTGAGCCAAACCTAAGTCTGAACCTAAGCCAAAGTCTAAGTCTAAGCCTAAGCCGAAGCCGAAGCCTAAGCCTAAGCCTAAGCCTAAGCCTAAGCCTAAGCCTAAGCCTAAGCCTAAGCCTAAGCCTAAGCCTAAGCTTAAGCCTAAGGGTAAGCCTAAACCTAAATTTAAACCCAAGCTCAAGCCTACGCCTTTCCCTAAGCCTAAGCCAAACCTAAGTCTGAACCTAAGCCAAATTCTAAGCCTAAGCCTAGGCCTAAGACCATCCGCTTTCAGTCAATGCGGCCAGTGCTCAGCCAGAGGCCCTCATTGCCCAAGGGCCCAGACGGCTCGTCCGAGCGATCTCTGCCCCTGCGGCCCCGGAGAGACAGCGTGCTTACGGTAATTTTTGCAATATTCCTCGGTTACAGTAATCCTATCGTACCTTTTAAAAATAACGCTTTGTTTAAATTTTTCGCTCTATCCAAACAATCAAGAAAAATTCCAGTTGCGGCCTGTGTCGGCTGTGCGGGGAGGCGGAAGCTGGACCCGGGGATGAGGCCCTAGCGGCGGAGGGAGACGCGGAGCTGCTCGGGACGCCGCAAAAGACCCTGCTGACCCCGGCGAGGATCCAGCTATCGAAGGGGGCCGTAGAGACCAAGGTGGGTCATATTTTCTACGAATAAAGGATCATTGAAGCCTAAAAAATTCCTCAAGAAAATCTGCTAGCTTGCCATCTCGTTACGCTGTCTTAAAGGCCCATTGAACCCTTGAAAATTCCTCCAGAATCTCTGCTAGATTGCCACCTGATTACGCCTTTTTAAAAATCCATTGACGTCTGGCAATAACGCTCCAGTACCCAAACACCACAATTTCAGGTAGCCATGGTGGCCTGCGGAAATTTTCACACCATCGTCCTGGGCGCCGATCGATCAGTCTACACCTTCGGATCGAACTGCCACGGCCAGCTGGGGGTCGGTGACACGAAGAAGCACGTCTCCCCTCAGAAGGTGAGCAGGCTAGTAGAGATCTTTCAGGATTCGGACTTCTTAGTTCCTTTAAACGGCCCAATTTTTAGCTTGACCTGCCGGCCGGAGTCCAAATCGTGCAGATCGCCGCCGGGGCCAACCATTGTGCGCTGCGGACCAGTGAGGGCCAAGTTTGGACGTTTGGTGCCCATCGGCACGGGCAGCTGGCAAGGTAACCGGCAGGGATTGTCGAGGAAGAGGAGAGGGCAGGCTAGCAGAGATTGTTGAGGAAGAGGAGAGGACAGGCTAGCAGAGATTGTTGAGGAAGAGGAGAGGGCAGGCTAGCAGAGATTGTTGAGGAAGAGGAGAGGGCAGGCTAGCAGAGATTGTTGGGGAAGAGGAGAGGGCAGGCTAGCAGAGATTGTTGAGGAAGAGGAGAGGGACAGGCTAGCAGAGATTGTTGAGGAAGAGGAGAGGGCAGGCTAGCAGAGATTGCTGAGGAAGAGGAGCGGGCAGGCTAGCAGAGATTGTTGGGGAAGTGGAGAGGGCAGGCTAGCAGAGACTGTTGAGGAAGAGGAGAGGGCAGGTTAGCAGAGATTGTTGAGGAAGAGGAGAGGGCAGGCTAGCAGAGATTGTTGAGGAAGAGGAAAGGGCAGGCTAGCAGAGATTGTTGGGGAAGAGGAGAGGGCTAGCAGCTATCATTTAGGAACCATGGTTTCACCGATTAAATTCCAGAGATCCTGAAGACGCCCATTGGCACTGTCGACCGATAGCCGTCCCCGGATTTGGCGCCCAATTTGGGGTATTCTTTTTCTATTTCTAAATTTTTACCTTAAAAGTTGCTTTTAAAAATGTATAGTCAAATTCTGTTCAGCTGTTCGCCACGTGGGTGGGCTGCGTGGGAGACGTCACGCTAATTCACTCGGCTAGGTCGCTCTTTACGCAAGAAAACATTCAGGATGCCCAGATTGTGGCCAATAAAGTGAGAATTTTGGGATTCCTCAGCAATCTCTGCTAGCCTGCCCTTGACAATGTTTTTTTAAGAATTGCCTCTTTGTGTTTCCGCGCGAGGCCGGGAAGGACTACGTGGTGGTACGTCGGAAACAGCACACGTTTACGCATCATCAGCTGGGGCCGACAGGGCTGTATACATCGTGAGTTTGGAGAAAGAGAGAAAGGGAGAGAGAGAGAGAGAGAGAGAGAGAGAGAGAGAGAGAGAGAGAGAGAGATAAAGAAAGAGAGAACGAGCGAAAACGAGGGAGAGAGACCAAAAAATTCTTTTCCAGCTGGTGCATCGACCACGACCACAACGTCATCTGGTCGTACTCGGCAGCCGAGATGCGCGTCCAGGGTCGGTTTCTAATTTTAAAATTAGCATTAAAGGACATAATTGTTTTTTATAGTTCGTAACTCGTTAAATTTTAGCTTCAGCTTTTTCAAAAATTTTCAGACCTCATTTTAAGGCGTCACCGAGGCGCGCGGGCTGACGGCAAGCCAATCCTACGGCAAGGAGCAGAATCCGTTGAACCTGCTGCGAAGTCCGGAATTCTTCATCCCCACAGAGTTCGAGGCCCGCCTCAGTACAAATCAGGTAATTTGCCTTCATTCTACTTCTCTCTCTCACGCTAGCCCTCTCGCTCACTCTCTCACTCTCTCGCTCTCTCTCTCTAAATCTATCGCTCTCTCTTCTCCCTATCTCTCTCTCTTTCTCTCGCTCTCTATATCTCTCTCACCCGCACTCTATCTCACTCTCTATCACTTTCTCCATTTTAAGATGGCCCTCAACCTCCTCTCCACCACCTACGGCCTCAGCATGCTCAGTGCGGAGCCGTCCGCCCAAAAGGTACGCTGTCACGCTCCCTTTAAAGCCCACTCTCGTGCTCAGGATGCCTCGAACTTGTCGCGTCTTGGCTCGTCTGGTCAGCTTCATGAGGGCTACTCGGTGGTCAATCGTTTCGAGGCCAATGGCGGAGGCTGGGGATATAGGTGCGCTCTTGCTCACTATCTCTCTTTCTCGCTCTCGCTCTCTCTCTCTCTCTCTCTCTCGTTCTCTATCCCTCTCTCTTTCCAGCGCTCACTCCGTCGAAGCGATCCAGTTCCAAGTAAACCGCCCCATTCGGCTGATCGGCGTCGGGCTGTACGGCGGCCGCGGCGAGTACATCGCAAAGTGGGTTGAGCTTGAGCTTGAGCTTCAAAATGCCGCATATTAGACCGTTATAAAATTCCAATTTAGAATCCGCATCCACCGGCTGATCGGCGGCGATATGGACGAGTTGATGGTGGAGGAGGTGACCGAGACGGACGAGACGCTGTTTGAGGTGAAAACCTAAGCCCAAGCTTGGGCCAAAGCCTAAGCCCAAGCCGAACCCAAAGCCTAAGCCTAAGCCTAACCAAAGCCTAAGCTAAGCCTAAGCCTCACCTACCTAGGTCCACGCCTAAGCCAGAGCCCAAGCTTAAGCCTAAGCCTAAGCTAAGCCTAAGCCCTAGCCAACTCTTTTAGTGCGGAGCAAGGCAGACAGCCGCTTTGATGCTCACTCGACCGGTCAGCATCCAGGCTGGCCAGTGGTACGCCGTGTCGGCAAAGATCAGGTAGGTATAGAGAGCGAGAGAGAGAGAGAGAGAGAGAGAGAGAGAGAGAGAGAGAGAGATGAGCGGGGAGTGAGAGTGAGAGTGAGCTAGCAGGGATCGTTGTGAAAGAGTCGGGGGCAAGCTAGCAGAGATCATTCAAATTTCCAGCGGTCCGTCATCAGATTGCGGAGCTAATGGCCGGGCAGTCGTCGAAAGCGAGGACGTCTCCTTCCACTTCCGGAACTCCATACTCTCTAATAACGGGACCGACGTGACTGTTGGCCAAGTGCCAGAGCTCTTCTACCAGGTACTGTAGAAGGGGCAATTTTTAGTCTTTGAAGGTCGAAAAATCGAACGCTGAGGTGTATGTGGATCTCTCGAAAGATCTGGACGGCCGGGGCTTTTCTGACTTTTCCGCGCTGCTCCGCTCGAAGACGCTGCTTACCCCGACGCCCGAGGTGTTCAACTCGTTGCTGCGGATTTTTGACTGGGCCGTGACAAGGTAGGTGGTTGATGAGACATAGCCATTTTCCCAGAGCTTTCGAGCAACACCTCGACCTCCCCTACGAAGACCAGCGATGGCTGAGCGAGCGTGCCGTTTCGATCGGCATCTTGGCGTTGAAGATGATCAAGTTGGCGGCACATTTCTGGTCTAAAAATTGTTTCTTTTTGTTAGGTTTTACCTGAAAATGCTCTATCCCTCAAATGGGGCTGCCGAGGAGCCGGGGCTGGAGTTTGCGGAGAGCGTCCTGAAAATATCGCTGGCCTTCAACACGTTGTTCGAGTTGGCCTCAAATCAAATTAAGGAGCCGGTGAGGAAGCTTAAAGAATCTCTGCTAGCCTGCCCCTCTCCTCTTCCTCAACAATCTCTACTAGCCTGCCCTCTCCTCTTCCTCAACAATCTCTGCTAGCCTGCCCTCTCCTTTTCCTCAACAATCTCTGCTAGCCTGCCCTCTCCTCTTCCTCAACAATCTCTGCTAGCCTGCCCTCTCCTCTTCCTCAACAATCTCTGCTAGCCTGCCCTCTCCTTTTCCTCAACAATCTCTGCTAGCCTGCCCTCTCCTCTTCCTCAACAATCTCTGCTAGCCTGCCCTCTCCTCTTCCTCAACAATCTCTGCTAGCCTGCCCTCTCCTTTTCCTCAACAACCTCTGCTAGCCTGCCCTCTCCTCTTCCTCAACAATCTCTGCTAGCCTGCCCTCTCCTTTTCCTCAACAATCTCTGCTAGCCTGCCCTCTCCTTTTCCTCAACAACCTCTGCTAGCCTGCCCTCTCCTCTTCCTCAACAATCTCTGCTAGCCTGCCCTCTCCTCTTCCTCAACAATCTCTGCTAGCCTACCCTCTCCACTTCCTCAACAATCTCTGCTAGCCTGCCCCCTCCTCTTCCTCAACAATCTCTGCTAGCCTGCCCTCTCCACTTCCTCAACAATCTCTGCTAGCCTGCCCTCTCCTCTTCCTCAACAATCTCTGCTAGCCTGCCCTCTCCTCTTCCTCAACAATCTCTGTTAGCCTGCCCTCTCCTCTTCCTCAACAATCTCTGCTAGCCTGCCCTCTCCACTTCCTCAACAATCTCTGCTAGCCTGCCCTCTCCTCTTCCTCAACAATCTCTGCTAGCCTGCCCTCTCCACTTCCTCAACAATCTCTGCTAGCCTGCCCTCTCCTCTTCCTCAACAATCTCTGCTAGCCTGCCCTCTCCTCTTCCTCAACAATCTCTGCTAGCCTGCCCTCTCCTCTTCCTCAACAATCTCTGCTAGCCTGCCCTCTCCACTTCCTCAACAATCTCTGCTAGTCTGCCCTCTCCTTTCATGCTCCCTTTAACCTGCTTTTTCAGGATCCATGCCTGATCTGCCTTCTCGACGAGTCGGTTGAGGTGTTCGTCGGCATAGCCCCGACCCTGCTCCCCTCCAGGCCGATGCTCCTCGCCCGGCTCTCTGCTTCTCTGGCCTCTCCCACCCGCGACTGGTCCCTCGCCGCCACACTGCTCAGCGTCAGCAAGTTCGGACCGGTCAGTGAGATGAGGAACCTAAGCATAAGCCCAAGCCCAAGCCCAAATAAAAAGATTTTCAGCTCCTCTCCCTCCTCTCCCAAACAGCAGAAGCCGACCCCCAGGGCTGCTCCTACCCGAATTTGGCAGAGAAGTTGATGGCGGTATTTTTTTTACTAATTTTTTACCGCTTTCACCGCAGCAGAGACCATTAGGGGACGGCCTTTCCCTTTTCCAGGCCCAGCTCGGCACGCGGAACCCCGAAAAAATCCGGCAGATGACAAATTTTTCAAACATTTTGAAATTCTTCTTCGACGTCGCCTTCGCCCCTCGGCTGCCCATTATGGTAATTTGTTTGTACGTGATTAATACTTGGTTTTCTAGAAGCTGAGCCGTTTCCGGGTGCCCGAGCTTGCCCAGGAGCTGGTGGTAAAGGTCGCGACCGAACTGGTCACGCCCGACTTGCAGGGATACGTGCAGCCGACGTTGCTGCAGACGCCGTCGAGGTTGGGCTGGTCAAGGAACTCTGCTAGCCTCTCTCTCTCTCTCTCTCTCTCTCTCTCTCTCTCTCTCTCTTTCTCTCGCTCTCTCTGTCTCTCTCTCTTGCTATCCCTTCTCTTTCACTCTCTCGCTCCCGCTCTCACTCTCTCTCTCTCTCGGTCTCTCTCTCTGTCTACCCCTACTTTTCCAGGTTCCGCCGCAATTCCCCGCACGCCAACTGGGATCTCACTTCTGGAGCTCCGGACGCCATTTGCTTCCGGACGGACATATCCGGGCTGACCCTGCATGGTGTCGGGATTTATACAGGAAACCCGGCGGAGATGACCATGACGATGGAGCTGCTCGAGCAGACCTGCAGGCTCGGGGAATCCGAGTGGGATAGGCTGGAGATGGTGACGATCCTCGTGCCCGCCACCGAGGAGGGCAAGGAGACGTTCATTGCAAAGTAAGGGAGAGAGAGTGAGAGAGAGAGAGAGAGTGAGAGAGAGGAGCAGAGAGAGAGAGAGCGAGAGAGATACAGAGAGAGACAGAGAGAGAAAGGGAGCGAGAGAGAGAGAAAGGGAGCGAGAGAGAGAGAGAGAGGTAGAGAGCTAGCAGAGATTGTTGAGGAAGAGGAGAGGGCAAGCTTGCAGAAATTGTTGAGGGATAATTCAAAGAAGTCACAAATTCGAAAATTCAGATTGTCAAAACCGGTGCAAATCCTCAGCGGCACCGTCTACGCCATCAAACTGTCGA